TGGGGATTCAGGAGTCAGCAATGATACCGAGAGACCAACTTACATGGTATTGGGGATTCAGGAGTCAGCAATGATACCGAGAAACCAACTTACATGGTATTGGGGATTCAGGAGTCAGCAATGATACCGAGAGACCAACTTACATGGTATTGGGGATTCAGGAGTCAGCAATGATACAGAGAGACCAACTTAGATGGTATTGGGGATTCACGAGTCAGCAATGATACCGAGAGACCAACTTACATGGTATTGGGGATTCAGGAGTCAGCAATGATACCGAGAGACCAACTTACATGGTATTGGGGATTCAGCAGTCAGCAATGATACCGAGAGACCAATTTAGATGGTATTGGGGATTCAGGAGTCAGCAATGATACCGAGAGACCAACTTACATGGTATTGGGGATTCAGGAGTCAGCAATGATACAGAGAGACCAACTTAGATGGTATTGGGGATTCAGGAGTCAGCAATGATACCGAGAGACCAACTTACATGGTATTGGGGATTCAGGAGTCAGCAATGATACCGAGAGACCAACTTAGATGGTATTGGGGATTCAGCAGTCAGCAGTCAGCAATGATACCGAGAGACCAATTTAGATGGTATTGGGGATTCAGGAGTCAGCAATGATACCGAGAGACCAACTTACATGGTATTGGGGATTCAGGAGTCAGCAATGATACAGAGAAACCAACTTACATGGTATTGGGGATTCAGGAGTCAGCAATGATACCGAGAGACCAACTAAGATGGTATTGGGGATTCAGGAGTCAGCAATGATACTCAGAGACCAGCTTACATGGTATTGGGGATTCAGGAGTGAGCAATGATACTCAGAGTGACAAACTAAGATGACATTCGGGATTCCGGAGAAGGGAGGCTGGCACCCTCATGGATTTCCTTCCCATGCGGGGTATCAAAACCTGGTCCTTTAACTAAATGTGTTAACGTGCTGTCCTATAAACCCAATTTCAATGATATTGCAATGTTACATAGTAAACATTGTTGACAGTAATAATATTAGCGCAGTGATAAGATCAGGCTTGTGGTTTATATCATTTGAAATGGTCTTGTTCTCCTTGGTCGTTTCGTTCCTTACTTTATAGTGTTACTCCAATATACCGCTGATCTTAATAGTCCCTGAGGGTAGGACTGACGCTAACTCTTTATGAATTGTTCTCGACACAAACCGGCTCTGTGGGGAAACCGGGTCCGGATAGATCCCCAGTTCTCCATGCTTGCCATACGAGCTGATGACATTGTGTATCGAATGTTCCTGATATTGGCTAATGATTTAATGGTCGAATGGTCACGATTTAGCTGGAATATTACTGACCGCGGCGTTAAACAATGTACACTAACTCACGTGGCAAAACGGCGATTTTACGCCGCCTTTAACAATATTCCATCAATATCACGGCGGGGGTTGCCAAAAATGGCCTTCACATATTGTACACATGTGGGGAATCGAACCCCGGCCTTCGGTGTGACGAATGAGTGAGTGAGTGTTATATGGCAGTGTATTTTATTGTAGAACAATGATTGTTACTGTGTTTCTGTTGAGATTCGGTTGATGCCCATTGCAGACTCATCCACCATTGTATAGCGCCTTACAGCACTGTCTAGAAAGTTCTGGAAGCTAGTTGGACGGTATATACGGGCACAAGAGCATGCCTCTCGGATTTCTCGCGCATTTCATTACTTCGAAACCAGCTTTTATGTGAGGATCGCTCATGATCCCTTATTCTCTTCCTAGCCTATCGCAGAAGCTGTCTTCTCTAGGTGAATATATATTATTATCACTGACTTTTGCTATCACCACTGTATTTTTGTATTTGATACTGACCACTACCATCATATTATATATTGACATTGAATACTGTACTGCCACTCTATTGTTCTGCCATTGTAATTCCTGTGCAGTAATTTGTATAGACTTGTAAACTTAGCGTATTTTGTAATACATTTCTTGATTGCCTTTAAGAATATTGCAGCAATATCACGGCGGGGGACAGCAGAAACGGGCTTCCCACATTGTACTCATGTGGGGAATCGAACCTGGGCCCTCGACGGGACGAGTGAGTGAGTTTGTTTGGTTTTGAGCCGCTTTTAGCAATACGCCTACAATATCACGGCAGGGGACGGCAGAAATGGGCTTCACACATTGTCCTCATGTGGGGAATTCGGCGTCAACAACTTGGGTACGCCATCGCCCCATACGGTAATAGAAAATAACAGAAAAAACATAATAAAACGAAATAGAAAAACAAAATAGAACGGCAAAACTATCACATAACTTCATACTTAATTAATTTACGATTAAAAAGTAGGTTTTAAGAAAACTCCAGGAAATGTCAAGAATGTTGTGAATGAGGATATTTTGAGCGCGTTGACAGTTGCATCCCTTGGCCATTGTGCAGAGCACAGGCACATGTACATCAACAATACGGTGTATACATAACACATAAAGGCAGCGCGCAGTGAACGTGATGACCCGCGCAGAGGACTTGGAGGAATGTAGAAAAACGTGTTTGTCTTAATTACCATTGAAAACTCACTTCCGGCATATGCCAAACTCCGAAGCTACTGTCATAGAACGTTCATTAAGCACACATACTGACAATTTATGAAAATATTTGAAAAAACCATCTTAAAGGCAATTGTTTAAACATTTAGTTGCACATGCTTGACCCATCCGTATCCTCATCTATGCCTCTTAACCGTGATTTCTTGTTCTATACTATATAGTACTGTGTCGTTGTATAAACAAACCACTGAATTATCGTCGTACTTGTGATTATACATTCAGGTATGGCTGTACTCTGTGGTTGGCGGTTACTGTGACACTTAGTGCTTAGTGCTTTTAGTGCTTCATTACAATACTCTATAGTATGTGTTACTGTGGCAGGGGGCACGGGTGGCCCAGTTGTCTAAGGCGCCGCGATTCGCTGTGCAGAGTTGCGTCCCTTGGACATGCCATAAACCTATGATTGTGGGTTCGAATCCCCATATGGGTGCAATGTGTGAAGCCCATTTCTGGTTTACCCGCCGTGATATAACTGCAATACTGTTAAAAGCGGCGTTAAACCCAACTCACTCACACACGTTACTGTGACATAAGGTGTGTTGATGTGTCCCTGTGCTATACAACACTGCATTGTTGTGTTGTTATGCTATATAATACTGCATTGTTGTATTGCTATGCTATATAGTACTGCGTTGTGTTACTATGCTATAAAGTAATACTTCGCAAACTTCTCTTCGCAAACAATCATCTTCTTGAGGCAAGGGCGTTAACTGACGATAAAAGTCCAGTTTCCACACCATCCTCCTGAGGTAAGGGCGTTAAGTGACTATTATAGTTTCCACCCTTGCCGCTATTACGAGTTATGTCCCTTCTCTGTCCCTCCTATTGAACAATCAGATTCCACCTCTCATATCACTTGCATTTGCGTCAAACAAAATGGCGGCGCCAAGTCATGACGATCTGATCGATATTCAAGATCTATATTGTAATAAAACGTCTTACACCGCGATGTGCATCAAATCGAGATTAGTGATAATTGTATGAACGTGATGGTAATCGATGAGGTAAAATGGAGTTTAAAGTCGCCTGCTCTTATATAGCGACGTGCATGCACGTGCTTGTGAGTGTGTGGCTGCTTGTACTCGACCGGGCTGGTACCGATTTATAGTGCTAGCCCACTGAGATACCCTGCCGCAGTTTCACATGAATACCACACACAGACACAGTATACTGACGCCAAGCCGACCAGTCCTTGTTTTAACCCCTTAATGCCGAGCGCCAGACAGGGCAACAAAAAGTACCATCTGTTAACGTCTTTTGGTATGACGCGGCCGGGGATTGAAACCCGGACCTTCCGCTCTCCGGGTGGACGCTCTTCCACTTGACAACGGAAGCGGTCCGGTAATCGATGACGTCTCAAAGGTCTGCAAATCATTGTGATGCGATTCCATTGCAGTGATATCTCCAAAGAGTTTTGGATGATAAAATAAGAATTGAGTTAACAAATAAAGGTGGGTTTAATGACTTGAATTAAATAAACTTGGGCCGATAATTGTTTCAAGTGTAGTTCCTCTTTAACCCTTGTTATTTCTAGAGGTTTTTTTGTCAGGAACCTTCTGCTATACGCTGAACAATACGCCTTGTTAAGAGAGAGTGAGCATGGTTTTAGGCCGCTTTTAGCAATATTTCAGCAATATCACGGCGGGGGACACCAGAAGCGTGGTTCACACATTGTACCCATGTGGGGAATCGAACCCGGGTCTTCGGCGTGACGAGCGAATGCTTTAACCACTAGGCTACCCCACCGCCCCGCGCCTTGTTTAAGGATGTGTGACCCGTATTATCAGCGATTCGTGTAGATTTATATTACGAGATTATATTTACATATTATCAGAGATAGTTTATGTTTTTGTGTTACACCCAGCCCCACAAGTCAAGGTTATTTCCGAGATCACATTTCAAACTTTATCTTCCATCATAAGCCTTTTCTACACTCGCTATATTTTATCATGATGCACGCAATTCACACGCTCGCTTGGCGTGTCGAAACAAAGCTATTTGTCTTTCGGCAAAAAACATCAAATGACATATCTGATGACAAGGAAATTTGACATCAAATGTTTATAATAATCAAATCAGCAATATCCATCGCGAAAAGTACTTGCCGATTACCAAATGTATGATATGATTGATATATATAAAGATAAAATCCATCTATGTAATTACAATCACCATCCACTGTCACATCGGCCACAATCCCCTTCAAACCTGACATGGTAACCATGACTATTGCCCGTGGGACATCAGATTGATAATGATATTATCATCTGTTTGAACACAAACCATTGTCAAATATAATCTGCTACACACACATTAAATATGAACTTATCCATCAGTAGCGCTCGTGAGGAAAGCAATCATTCCGAGTTCGTGTTAACTATGTGCAAACTTTTTGAGCAAACAGTAACTTACCTTTCGGCAAATGCGCGCACCATCATGTCGTCATCCCCAAAGGCTGGTGAAATTTTGGTGAGACATATTAAAGCCAGGACTGTGATACTTGAAACACAAATTGTGGAATGGAGGCTTTTTAGCCCAAAGGCAACTGAAACGAAACGAAACAGATTACATAGACCATGCTAATTGAGTGAGTTTGGTAAGACTTATCCGCCGCTTTAAACAGTATCTTACAGGGATAGACACTAGCCCGTTAGTCCGAGACGAGTGGAAATCTAGATCGCGTGTTGTTTTGTTTCTTAATCTTGTGTATTTTCCATAACCACTAGTCCGGAATAAGCTGTGGGTTAGTTGGATTGAGTTGGGTTTTACGCTGCTTTTAGCACTATTCCAGCTCTATCACGGCGGATACACCAGAAATGGGCTTCACACACTGCACCTACATGGGGAATCGAACCCGGGTCTTCGTCGTGATGAGTGCACGCGTGAACCACTAGACTACCCCGCCGCCCCTTTGGACTAGTTTAATATGGTAGATACAGTGTCTACCCTTCTTTCAGTTATATCAGAGGTGGCAGGAGTGGGGGGAAGGCCCGAAGCAATGTGGGGATTAGAGTTTTCCACTTGTTAAACCCACGATCACGTGAAGAGTGCTGAAAACCTAGAAACCTAAGGCACCAGCAACTTATTGTGGGTGGGATAAGAGGGAACCAGAGGAGGGTCGCCAAGACATACGACAGTCTCTAGGGGTCGTAAAAAAAACATGTACAGGGACATGGGGAGGGCCATCCGAAAATATAGCAAGTGTAAAGGGAGGGTAATTATTTTTCGGTACATTAGTGCTTTAAAACCCTCTGCCCCCCTGTTGAATGTCTTTCGGAGAGGCCAAGTCAGTGCAAGATGCTGTCATTGGTAGATTGGTCAAACTGAAAATTGGAATAAACCCGCTCCGTCCCATCAAGGTGTCATCCAGTGTGTGGCTGTAGGTGTTCCCACAGACAAAGCCTCAGATAACACAACCACCATATGTAAGCATCACTACATATATACGCAGAGTTGCGTCCCTTGGGCACGCCAGAAACCTATGATTGTGGGTTCGAATCCCGGTTCGCCCCAATTATGTTTCTAGGTTTGTCAGCACCATACCCGTGCTCGTGGGTTTCACCGAAGTGGTCAACGTCTGAGACCTGCATCACTTCGGGCTTTCCTCCCACATTAAGCTGACACGCCGCGATATAATTGGAATACTGTTAAAAGCGGCGTTAAACCCAACTCACTCACTCACTGGATTCCAAAGCCCCATAAAGATCCGTACAAAGCGAGACACTTTTCGGGGTCAAGCAAATTCCTTTCGAAAAGATTAACTATAATCCTTAATACAATCAAAGAAGAACCTTTTTATACTCACAGAAAATATTTGTGACAAGTGGAATTAATATCATGTGGATTCTTAAAAACTCAAAGGCTTTGCTGGAATGTTTGCAATCTCAGAGAAGAACGAAGTACCATTCTGTAAAAACAGTTGATTTTTTAACATTTTGTACACCAGTATCCAACACGACAAACTTAAAAGAACATCTTCATTCCAGGATCCATGGGGCATTTGTCAGTGGTGAGTGAGTATGGTTTTACGCCGCATTTAGCAATATTCCCGCAATATCACGGCGAGGGACACCAGAAATGGGGTACCAAGTAAGGCTTTTCAAACGTTTTATGGTAGATATGTTAAGGAGATTTCCAAATTTGACACATTTGTTACCAAAACGAGGGCCGATGCAAATCCTTAGTTTGACTCTTCCCATGTGTTCTTGTGCTTGTTCAGGTGATCAACATGACTTGCCTTTGCATGTGTTTGCACTGGTGGTGCAGGATACGCTCACAATTTCGGAAACACCTGGTACCATCACTGATTGATAGTGATTCATAAAAAAACATGCTGATGATAAAGTCGAAATAGTAACACGCATATATCTAACGAATATGGGAATGGTTTTGTTCTGTTTTATTATATCTGTAGGAGCGATTTCATTAACTACTGCGATGGTATTGACATCAAATATTGAGTCTTCTAAAAATACTGGCCAACGCAACCGGCATCAGCTTTACGACTAGTAAGTAATCTTATACAGATTATTAGATAGATTTCTTCACAAACATGTATGTTGGAAATTGTATCTGATTAGGAAAGCTCATATCAAGTTTACGCTACACATACTCATTTATGCCTTTATAAATCAGAATAGATCGGACGAAAATAACATTGAAACGAGATCTGAGCGGCTTAACATCATGAAATGTGACCAGGCTTTCAGCGGAGGAGATCATGCGCTTTCACATGTAAGAGTGAGTGAGTATGGTTTTATGCAGCTTTTTCAGCATTCCATGAATATCACGGCGTTGAGCACCAGAAATGGGCTTCACTCATTCGTCGGGATGAGAGTACGCTTCCCCATCTTTCTCACATGTGAGAGAAAGGACATGAGTGAGTGAGTGAGTAAGGTTTTATGCCGCTTTTAGCAATATTCCAGCAATATCACGGCGGGGGACACCAGAAATGGGCTTCACACATTCGTCGGGATGAGAGTACACTTCCCCATCTCTCTCACATGTGAGAGAAAGGACATGAAAATATAACACTTAAGCTCAGCCGTGTTGCAATATTATCAGTTTAAACAAGCACAAATTCAGAACTAAATTAAACCATATAACAAAAATGTCACATATTTCAAGATAATAAGATATTATCTATGTAAACCATTTAATCATTTTTGAATATTAATAAATAGGTACTTATCTAGTCAAGATTACCAAGACGTCATAAAATGCCGTTACCTACATATTGGACAGAATGTATTACTATTAGATCTAGAAAAGTGAAATCATTTTTCTTTTATCACGAATAATCCGACGTACATATGAAAAAATGCAAATGTATTACTAAAATATAAAGATAAAACTATTCCTTAATAAAGAATATCCTGATTAAATTCCTACATCTTATAAAACAATTCTTGGAATACTGCACTTTTATAATAAGATGACATCTGTATTATACACATACAAATCAATCTTCTTTGAAACTATTAAACTTGTATAAATACGAACTTCTATAAAATATAAGTACGCCTTAAAAAAAGTTTATATAATAACATAAATGTCCTCAAAATATGAGTATACTTATTAAACTATTCTCATAATACTAAACTTATGAGAGGTGTATACTTTGTATATAAATATACAATACAAATCAGACGCACAAGGTCAAAATATACATAATTATTTAATAGATATGTTCCTTTGATGTAGTATGCATGTCAAATAATAGATACATAATGTACACTTAAATATCAATTGCTACCATGAATGATGACAAAGACTTGTAATAAGCCTGACTCCAAGTACCAGTGACAAAGTAAAGACGTACCTTTCCTGACGTTGGGTAGAGACATTTCCCCAAGCAATCAACTTTGTATAGCACCTGCCTCTACTTTCATCAACTCTCCAGATGTTTACGAGTCAATGACAGAGGGAACCCTATTCCTACGATCATTTCAAACGCTCGCTTCCTCACTCCAACGCTGATGATATGAATTAACCAACTATTCAACAGCCACACGACTTTAACAATTCTTCCATGTATTACATTTTCATGTTGAAAGCTCAACTGAATGCGTGGATGGCTTTAGGCCGTATATAGGGTTATAGTACCGCCTTCAAAATTGTGACGTTTTCACATGAGCGTTTTGCAGCAGCGTCTGAGATATTAAAGTCATACTGGATCGTCATCAACTGAAGAATATGACAGAAAACTATTGCTCATCGGCTCAGCGGGCTCGCTACTCAAGTGTACTAAGAAATAGCATAGCGCGTTAATAAGACACCGTTCGTGAAGGGGAAAGGTGCCGGCGGCTCTACCAATCTGTAAAGGCGATGGTATTCGTGAGAATTAATATCACTCTCAGACGTTACAAAGCGGCAAGCCTGTGGAGGGAGGTGGGCCATACGTGCACCCATGAACCCCGAAGACTGGCCAATACATTTGCATCTTGAGATTGCCTTTGAAACACTCCACAGTTTTCGTGAAGTATCATTTCTGCTCGTTTTGGTGACAGCGCTTTTACGTATGTGGTTATTCAGAATGGATTATTATAAGGGCGAAATTATTTTGGAATTGGCAATTAGTTTTTTAACAACTTGTAGAATTAAGACGTTTATTTCAGAATGACACTCACGTCATCTGATGAAGGGCTTCTGGCGTTTCTAAGTGCTCTCACGAAACTAAAATAACTATAATAACTATAATAGCTGTATATCGCCAACATTCGCTTATATATACTACTTACAGTTGTCATAGATCTGAAAATATGTTCGTTAATGAACTATTCAACGTAAGCATATATAGGGTTATGACAATCTTCACTGTAATCGAATAAGGCAAATAATTGAATATCTACCTATCAATGGCTAGCATGAATATCTAATCAGTGTTGATTACAGGAAGATGAGCCATGTTTAAATGTGATTTGCCAAAGGATCAAACAGAACTGAAATAGATCAGTGTCATGTTTTTTCCTTAATACGAAATATCTAATCTACAAAACGATGGTGTTTGAACCTTTAAATTTATGATCTAAATGTATATTGATTGGTATTAATTTCACCATAACTATTAGAATTAATGTTATTGTCTCAAAATAACATCAGCTCTCTAATACGAGGGTATTTTGGGTAGAGTTTCAATCACCTGCGACAGTGCCAGAAGGTTTTGATTTCCTTAGTTGATGCATTTCATAACAGGTCTACTGATTGTCAATTCCCCATGAGCATTACCAAGGAGACCAAGAAACTTCTTGTTCATCAGAAACCAAGGAAGGTTTCCAATGACGACGTGTTGAATAAATGTCACATTATGCCTCTCATGACAGAAATTGTGAAGAATGAATTTGAGGCATGCATATTTCATGAGATAATAATTTTGCTTTTTGCTTTAAACATATTCCAGTCTCATGGGATGGACATGTTTTGAAATGATGTCCTCTTTGAGTATGTTTGTAATATAAAATACAACCCTTCCAAAATGACATACACACACATTTTACGATTGACAGGTATTACCTTTGAGCTTGTATCGCTTTGAGAATAGCTGTAATGTGAAGGGAAGAGCCAATTGGCGCAGGTATCGTATGTCTAGAATAAGGACCGAATACCGCATTCGACGTAATAAGCGCCCCGCTCAAATAAGCGTCCACGGTGATATTTGCTCATATATTGGCTAGTGAACAATACCATTTAGGAACCGTTAAAATACCGGGGTAGAATAGGTCTTCAGCAACCAATGCTTGCCGTAAAAGGTGATTATGCTTGTCGTAAAAGGCGACTAACGGGATCGGGTGGTCAGGCTCGCTGACTTGGTTGATGCATTTCACCCAAATTGCGTGGATCGATGCTCATGATATTTATCACTGGATTGTCTGGTCCAGACTCGACTTTTTTACAGACCGCCGTCATATAGCTGAAAAATTGCTGAGTGAGGCGTTAAACAACAAACCAACCAACCAATCTTCCGATTGATCAATGTACACAAGACTTATTTAATCGTGTATAATACACACAGACTTTTCTTTTGTATCATTTCAGGTACATAAATCTAGAAATATACGATCTTTCAACTCTGTTTTTTTTCCAACCAAAATTATATTCTAATAAGAGGCCCCTATTTCTTTGTTTTGAGAGCGCCCTGTGCGCTTATTACGTCTAATACGGTATTTACAATGGGATCAGGGTTCACCTTGATTATGCTTCTTGGTTTGTCAGCTCCAAACGAATCTTCATTTCATAAAAGGCGAAAGCGTTTAAGACCCGCATTACTTCGGACACGCTGTGAAATAAGTGTATTATCTCCAATTCACTCAGTCACTATATAGAACTTAACACGAACATATTTAGATTCAGCATTGAAAAGAAATAAAAACTGTCTTTTATTGTAGGGTATCGCATATGCTGTAACACCGTATGTCCATCAAAGCATCGTAGGCGCTGGTGGTGATCCCGTTGACGAGATACAGCCCCACCCACACTTCCAGATCTACAGACAGCAAGACACTCGATGGACATACAGACACCCTCCACGTCAATCCTCGGCAGCAATAAGCCATAACGTACTGTTATAAGGACATGGGCACCACTTGAACTGACCGCTCTTCACCATCGGCTTTAACATGACCCTAATATATTTTCACCCTATCCATATTTTAACAAGACACTTCATGTTCTCAAGGTCGGGAAATGAACCCATATGGTCATCCTGATTGTCGTCATCGAATTATTTTCCAAATCGGAAAAAAACCTGTCTCATTTTGCAGCTGGCCATGGTGATCTTGACGTGTTGACTCCACGACAGGATGGCGTAAGACCGGAACAATATGACATAATTGACACTTTAGTGGGATGGTATATCCACCTTGTTTGCGTTAATGGGCAATGGACCGATTTAAAGGCGGACAAGGCGTGAGCCAATTTCCAGGCCAAGCTTCTAGTCACTCACGCCTTTGCCATCTCAAGGCCATGGTGAGCAGCAATCACGCACTTTACCATTACTCCCAGTGGCATAGAGGCAATGGATTATTTCTTAAATTCCTTGCAATGTCCAGACCCACACAATTGACCATTCTTTTATCAGAAACCCATTGTAGTGTCTCCTATGACTATAGATTATCTGAAGATAATACAAATAAACAATTCGATTAGCGCAGGTTATTCGTGGGAGAACCCAGGGTTCGAATCCCATATCCGCGCCTTGATTTCGATGCCTTGTGTGTCAGCACCTTAAGTGTAAACGTTTAACAATTGCAGAATTCCGACTGTGATGGAACTAAAATGCTTTTCAAAGCGGTGTAAAACCCAGCTGAATGACTTACTCTTATAACGAAGGTCTGCTCGCTTTCCAAGGCCAAGGAATCATGAAGTATGAGTAAGTCAACTGATACCAACCACCCTAGCCATCAACTTCGTAAACAGGGAAATACGTTGAGGTCTATTTTCATTAATAATTTTCTTTCATGTCTCCCAATATGAGTCACTAAATACAGACAGAACATCATCAGTGTAGGATGTTCGCCGCATTCGCTGAGAATAGCTGCAAACTGCTGATTTGGCGCAAAATTCTTTAGATGAAACATACCCTATAAAAAACACATTGCAGTTTGTCTGTAATGACAAACAACATTATGCATCATTGCAACCATGACGTGTCCTTGTCTACTCCAATAACATTCTGAAGACATGTATTTACTCGTTAATAATGAATGTTACCTGGCGGAAATGGCAGAAAGACGTTTCTGATTCCCATTTTGTAGTGAATAAGACAGAGATTAAAACTGAATTTTCTCTGGTGACATTTAAAATTAAAAAAAAAATCATCTAACTCCGTAAATGAAAGTATCTGGTTGTCTATCTCAAAATACCTTATTTCATTAGAAAATACACATGGTCGGATAAGAGTGAGTGAGTGAGTGAGTGAGTGAGTGAGTGAGTGTTATGGTTTTACGCCGTTTTTAGCAATATTCCAGCAATATCACGGCGGGGGACACCAGAAATGGGCTTCACACATTGTACCCATGTCGGGAATCGAACCCGGGTCTTCGGCGTGACGAGCGAACGCTTTAAGCACTAGGCTACCCGACCGCCCCTGGTCGGATAAGAACATGTTATATAGCTCTTTAAGTCCTCCATTACAATTAAGAGACCTTGCTGCTTTTAATATTAATGTTATAAAAGCATAGTTTGAACGAAACAGTACTCACTCTATCAGCAAAAAGAAGTGCAATAGTTTTATACTACAGTTAACTACGGTTATAACGAACAGAAAGGGGACACTTATTTTAGTTCGTTATAACCATAGTTCGTTATAAGCATACGTAAAGCATATACACAGCAGTGACCGGGACAAAAACATAAGTTCGTTATATCCGTCTGTTCGTTATAAGCGTGTTCGTTATAAACGTAGTTTACTGTATCTAAAAATCAAACAACCGTTCAGATTCATATCAAAGCTGTAGATTCTTTAGTTAATTAATGTCTTGCTTTCATGTTTTTAAAAATTCCTTTATCTTTTGATGGTCTGTTTCTGGTTATGTATACTAGGCCAGTTTCAATCAACCTACAGCGCGTCATGAGCATTGTATAACACTGCACTTAAGGTTGCGATAAAACTTGTGTCATATATATACCTACAGACGGTGAATACCATTTAAAAAAATTAGTTTTCTTTTTAAGAATTTTCACATTTTTCATTTTCAATAACGAAGCTACACGAACTATTATAAACAACTGGAATAAATTTATAATCAAACATTACAATAGGTGCATATTTTTAGGGTTATATCGCAGCGCTTAAATAATGAAATACCAGCCAATTTAATCAGTACTTTCACACCATCGTCCAATGCAGTAGAGATCAGTTTCATGATGATGAATTAGTACAGAACATGGAATGAAACCTAACTCGCAACAACATAACTCTCAAAAACCTAACTCTCAACAACATAACTCTCAAAAACATAACTCTCATGAACTAGTTCAGATGGCAATTGTGAACAGGATTCTTGTTTTTGAATCACGATTTTACTAAAATTAACTCATTTGAATGCATTTGTATCAATCTATGATAATATAAACATTTTTGATATTGTAAAATGAATAAATATTTACAAACAATTATGTTATATAACGCATTAAATTACTTTTATAAACGCTCGACCCTGGCATTGTTAAATGTTCCCAAATAATATTTTCTAATGTAAAATGATGTTCCGATGAACACTTACTTTGCCGTTGCATGTGTTT